ACGATGGAAGAGTTATCAAAGCCAGAAAATTGGAAGAAAATGAACGACAAAATGTATTGCAATCAACATTCGGGCAAGAAATTGAAAGTTTACTGCGAAACCTGTGATCAACTGATTTGTAGGGACTGCATGGATTTTAAACACGTCAAGCAAGGTCATTCGTGTGTTCTCGTCAAGGATGTAGCGAACAACTATAAGGAACTACTTGCTTCGAATGGTAAAGCAATGGAAGACGCTTTAACTGAAGGCAATGTATTTCTTCAAAGATTAACGCTGACGGCAGAACAACTTGATCGCGATGCAGAAAATGCCAAAAATAAAATTGCACAAAGAAAAGCATTCGTAGCGAAGAAAGTCATCGAAATGTTGGATCAAAAAGCTGAAACTCTTCTTAAGAAAGTAGATGAAATTCAGAAAGGCAAACGAGCCAGTTTGGACAGACAGGCGGAAGAATCCAAGTTATACGTAGAGAACATAAAAACGTCTGTTCAACTTTCCAAAAAGTTGGTCGACCAAGGCTCAGAAGTAGAAATTATTTCCTCTCAGAAAATGATGCTGGATAACGCAAATAATCTCCTAACAAAACGCGAAGAGTATTTCAAAGCACCTATACCCGTTGCAAAATTGAGTTACACTTCCTCTACTGGCAAAGAACCAATAAACGAAGAGATTTTGAGAGCACTAGCAAACAGTTTAGGAGAGGTCAATGAAGGGAATAAAGACGAAGGTAAGGAACCAGTACATTATTTATGGATGGGCTGGGCAAGAGCAAAAATTATGAGATTACATGTTTGTGGGCATGGCCTCCTCCTTCATATTGTGCAATCCTACGGTAGATAAATAATCCATTTTATATACATTAACATTTATTCTATCTGACATCATATATAACATGTATTTGCTACAGCTACATAAAAAATACTTTCTAGCTAAATTAAATTTTCTCTTGGGACTTGAGGTGTAATTTCTCTTGCGAATTCAGGTGCAAGGGTGTGTGCATGGATATATAAGATTTGAAATTTTAAAGTTTATATTTTAAAATCAGTGGGCAAAATTATAGAAAATATTCGGGAAAGATAAAAGAAAACGGGCAAATGTATTAAAGATGTGAAGTTGGAAATATCTTAGGTCAGGATGATTTTCCCTGTCCCCTATCGGCAACATTTCCGGGGGAAATTTTAAATTCGGACATTTTATGGAAGTAATTAGCCCACCCTCCAAAAATAACAACTGTTCCTCCGCCACAGGCATATAAATGTGATTTTCTAGCTTTGTTCCCTTTTAAAATACCGCATTCAGGATTCCACGCGAATTCCAGTAGAGAATCCGATTTACAATACACAACTTTTCCGATTTACACTACACAACTTTTCCGATTTACACTACACAACTTTTGCCTAAAATTGTCGCATGGAACCTGCTTACAATTTGAGTTGTACTGTGTAAATCAAGCACAGAACTCCCTTACGACAACGTGCATGCGACACGGCGACAGTTGTGTACTAATGGATGAACAAACAAACAAACTCGTTTTTAGGGCAAGCTGGAAATGAAAAAAGGGCAAAGACATTATTCCGCGATGACATTCCAACCACCCCCAGAGCTGTCAAGCAATCATCAGTTATCTTATCTCCAGCAATTGACCATCCTGAGCAAATTCATGTGACCGCGCAGGGTTTGTAATGCAATAGTCTTTTTTCCTTCGGTCAATTTTTCTAAAAAAAATTATTTTAAAAGTGCTAGTCATTTATTGCGATATACTCAATTTTTAAAAAATTCTATTCTATCTTTGATATGATCTCCGCTAGAAGTATAAAGAATGCGCAGGCGGTTCTACTTTCAAAAAAGTCCCCATTTTACATAAATAGCAAAAATGTTATGTCATTGATCAGTGAAGACCTTATTTTTCGATGCTGTTTCTTTACAACTGTAGGGAGTCACCTTAAACGTATGCAAACATATATTTAATATTACATCCATAAAGATCATATAATTTTATACAAACTTAGTCTTTTCCACAGGCATCCCCTTAATTTTTAACTCAAACACTAACATCGTAACCACCGGAGACGTTCAACCCATTCCGTTTGCCCACTATAAGGCGATGTTTGCAACAAGTCTGAAGGCTTGAAGTCCTTGCAGTTAGCTTCATTTGCTTCAACGGCTGCTGAGTTGAAAGTTGAAACCCGGAATTTCGATCATTTCAGACCAAAGCAAGAACACCGATCAGAAAGCCGGTTCCAGGGATGACAAATGTCCACTTTGTCTGTGTGACTTCGCAGATAAGAAAACCTTATCTAAATGTGGCCATTCATTTTGTGCTGGCTGTATTGACGAAACATTTAAACATCAAAAGAAATGTCCAGTTTGTTCACAAGTTTACGGTCCTTTGATTGGAAATCAACCATATGGAAGGATGTATGATAGTCATCGGGCAACATCTCTTCCTGGTTTTGGATTGTGGGACACTATTGTTATAACTTACAGCTTTCCAAATGGGACACAAGGCCCAGACCATCTTAATCCTGGCAAACCATACACGAGAACAAACAAAACTGCTTATCTACCTCGCAACAAAGAAGGGAAAAAAGTTCTTAAACTTTTAAAGAAAGCGTTCGATCAGAAATTGATTTTCACAATCGCACGATCAACAACAACGGGAAGGGATGATTGTGTTGTATGGAATGATATTCCTCATAAAACCTCGACGATGGGAGGACCTGCAAAGTACGTATTTGTTTCTTTAAACGACAATTTATATATCTCCGGACAAACTTGAACAAGTATACTTCGTTGCAGTTCGTCTGTACCAGAGAGTTTTATGATCCACAGTAAGTGGCCGGCTCAATGACGCAGTCTGAATTTAAGTACAAGAATCAAGAGTGAGCGAAGCTTTTTCAAATGACCTTACGCCGGAACGCTAAGTTCGACTAAAGCGATGCAATATTTGCTGTAATTTCTTGAAAGATGTGATAAACTCATAATTGTTAGTTTAACGTTGTGTTAAGATGACAAAGACAGTTTTTGTCTTGCATGACAAATTTCTTTTTGACAAATTTCAACAACAACCCACTAGTTAGTGGCTCTAATTGGGCCCTAACCTTACCCTGAGTGACCAAAATCTTACTCTGGGGAGACAACAATGGGCTATAATCTTGGTTTTGGCCGCCTACTGTAAAACGTTTAAAATATGCACTGGTCTAAGCTTCGCCAACATTAAGCAGGTGTACTGGTGTAGCCGTAGTAGGTTTTAGTTCAGATACATATACTCATAAATTTCGAGATTCAAATAGTTAAACATTCCTGTGTATTTTTTGGATCTTATTCTAAATTTCATTTCAGGTGTGGTTATCCCGACCCAGACTACCTGAGGAGAGTGCAGGAAACACTTGCTGCAAAAGGAATTACAGAATAAACAATGTGGAAGCACGTTAGTTGACGTATCACATTTCTTTGTGGTATATATAACCATCATGATATTGAACGACAATAAATGGACAATGCACAACAATTAATTTTTAATCTGTTAAGCTGGGAATATTCCGTCGGATGCAAGTTGCTATTGGAGTGTGGAAGAGGGTTGGGGCTCAGACAAGGGAGGACTTAAAAAAATTGCGTTTTCGAAGCCTCGGAATTTCCATGTTTGCTGAGAGGAAATTTTAGCAAAATTGTGCATTTCTTGCATTTAAAAATTCAAGCTTTTTCAGAACCGTATCACGTGCCGGTCAAAGAGGCCGAGAAAGCAGTGAATTTTGTGGCCCCTCGACCGCCGTTACTGTTTCCCTCGGTCTCAGTAAATAAGTGATAAACTATATATACAATATCAATGTAATAACAAACTGTTACGGATAAATATTACGAATATAAGTTGATTGTAATTGTGCGGCACTGTGTTCTAATAATATGACTAAGATGTAAATATTTTTATAACGTTGTCTTAAAGACCGAAGTCAACCCTTAGACGTTCATGTTGCTCTTTGGACTTTGACTTTCTAGATTCTTAATTGAAAATTTCGTCGTCCATCTTATTAATTTTCTCATCAAAACCAGAGCATCAAGACATTGTTTCTGGAAAACAAAATGGCAAAGTTTGAAATACTTGTACTCGTTAATCAAATTCATGAAGGAATGAGCCAACTCTACTGAAACGTGTGTCACACGCATAATGATTAATGCGTGAGAGTTAATTAGTGCAGTAGGTATGCACAGATAAAGGAAGCAGTCGTACTGTATTATTACACATTGTTGGCCAGCTGGCTCAAACCTTAGTTTTGAAAGTTGCAGGTGAGTTAGCTTGGCTGTCTAGAACTTAATTTAAATTGTTGGCTTTGGTGCACCACTATATATTGGTGTACAAAGTCTGAATTGACCTCTAAAAACCTAATATGGATTTCTTATTTGCACTTATAGATCCAGGAGAGAGCATGTCTATAACAGTAAAATGTACATGCAATTGTACACGGTTACTTTATTTTTCCATCTGTGGGGGACGCGTCAATACTTTGTGTGGAATATGATTGATCACTGTTGAGATTGTCCCATGCATACTCGGTCGCCCTATATTAACAATTAGTGTAATGGAATTTAGGTATGCAGTAGTCGACACTGACTTTTGTAAGGATGCTGAACCATCGTGTGGAAATGTGTACACCGTCAACTATACATAGCCACTATAAAATGCGGATACGCGAAACGTAGCAAGACTAGCGGTTATATTCTGTGTATATTCTGTGAAGGATAACTTGTTTGTCTATATTTAATCTATAATTATAAATGCTAAGGATTTTAGTTTAATACCATCAATCTTTATAAAACTACAAACTATAGATTTTATATTAAACTGCTGAGCCCGGAAATTCAAAGCATACTGTCCAGCAGCTTGTTTATAAACTGAAAAATATTTCTTCAGAAATATTGTCTGGATCGTTAGATGTACAGAAATACATAAACCAAAGCAATGAGTTAAATTTAACCCACATGCAGTTGGCGCTGATCCAGCTTTGAACAACTGGCCCCAGTTTAATTAAAGACATTAAACTGGAACTAAAAAAAACAAAAAGCCAGTGGCTGAAACAACAACTAAATGTAGGTACACAATTTATAAATAATCATGTACAAATGTTTGCTGTAGAAATATTGATGTAAATATACTTGGCTAATTCTAAATTGGCAAAGGACAGAGATGCGTAATAACTTTAATAACTATATATTTGTCAAACCACAGAGCCTGGGCTCGCATCCAGCCTTTGCCCGCGCCAGCCCTTGCCCACGCCAGCCGTAACCCTATTTTAAGGTTGGCTTATGGGCAAAGGTTTGAT